TGTCAGATACTCTAGTGTCACATGCTGTAGTGTCACAGGTCGTGGTGTCAGATACTCTAGTGTCACATGCTGTAGTGTCACAGGTCGTGTCAGTGCTGTAGTCAGATACTCTAGTGTCACATGCTGTAGTGTCACAGGTCGTAGTGTCATACTCTAGTGTCATGCTGTAGTGTCACAGGTCGTAGTGTCAGATACTCTAGTGTCACATGCTGTAGTGTCACAGGTCGTAGTGTCAGATACTCTAGTGTCACATGCTGTAGTAGTGTCACAGGTCGTAGTGTCACAGATACTCTAGTGTCACATGCTGTAGTGTCACAGGTCGTAGTGTCAGATACTCTAGTGTCACATGCTGTAGTGTCACAGGTCGTAGCGTCAGATACTCTAGTGTCACATGCTGTAGTGTCACAGGTCGTAGTGTCAGATACTCTAGTGTCACATACGGTCGTAGTGTCCGATGTGTCACATGCTGTAGTGTCACAGGTCGTAGTGTCAGATAATTTAGTGTCGTCACATGCACATGCTGTGTCACAGGTCGTAGTGTCAGATACTCTAGTGTCACATGCCAGTAGTGTCACAGGGTCATAGTGTCAGATAATTTAGTGTCACATGCTGTAGTGTCACAGGTCGTAGTGTCAGATACTCTAGTGTCACATGCTGTAGTGTCACAGGTCGTGGTGTCAGATACTCTAGTGTCACATGCTGTAGTGTCACAGGTCGTAGTGTCAGATACTCTAGTGTCACATGCTGTAGTGTCACAGGTCGTAGTGTCAGATACTCTAGTGTCACATGCTGTAGTGTCACAGGTCGTGGTGTCAGATACTCTAGTGTCACATGCTGTAGTGTCACAGGTCGTGGTGTCAGATACTGCTGTAGTGTCACAGGTCGTAGTGTCACATGTCACATGCCAGTGTCACAGGTCGTGGTGTCAGGTCACAGGGCATAGTGTCAGATACTTTAGTGTCACATGCTGTAGTGTCACAGGTCGTAGCGTAAGATACTCTAGTGTCACATGCTGTAGTGTCACAGGTCGTAGTGTCCGATACTCTAGTGTCACATGCTGTAGTGTCACAGGTCGTAGTGTCAGATACTCTAGTGTCACATGCTCATCAGTGTGTCACAGGTCACAGGCATAGTGTCCAGATACTCTAGTGTCACATGCTGTAGTGTCACAGGTCGTAGTGTCAGATACTCTAGTGTCACATGCTGTAGTGTCACAGGGCATAGTGTCAGATACTCTAGTGTCACATGCTGTAGTGTCACAGGTCGTAGTGACAGATACTCTAGTGTCACATGCTGTAGTGTCACAGGGCATAGTGTCCGATACTCTAGTGTCACATGCTGTAGTGTCACAGGTCGTAGTGTCAGATACTCTAGTGTCACATGCTGTAGTGTCACAGGGCATAGTGTCAGATACTTTAGTGTCACATGCTGTAGTGTCACAGGTCGTAGTGTCAGATACTCTAGTGTCACATGCTGTAGTGTCACAGGTCGTAGTGTCAGATACTCTAGTGTCACATGCTGTAGTGTCACAGGGCATAGTGTCAGATACTTTAGTGTCACATGCTGTAGTGTCACAGGTCGTAGTGTCAGATACTCTAGTGTCACATACTGTTGCATTCCATGGAGTCGTGTCGCCTACTGGTTTCACATGCTGTACTGCCACATCAATCCTTTGTTTTAGTTGGTGAAGAACATGACGTCCCGGGAATTCGGAGATTCCATCCGGGCCATGATATCGGACAACATGACACACGACACCCAGTACTACGGTCCTACATACTACACCCGGCCAGACCGCGGAACATCGCAGATATCTGTTGTTGATGCTCTGGGCAATGCCGTGGCTCTGACTTCGACCATCAATTTCGCGTAAGAACAATTTACAGTGTCTTTCATCACTGTTTGAGTTCTCTGAAGACTGGGTGAGTTTAGTTTTACGCCGCACTCAGCAAATATTCCAGCTATATGGCGACGGTTTGTAAATAGTTGAGTCTGGAACAGACAATACAGAGATCAACATTATAAGCATCGTCCTACGCAATTTTCTGAGTGAGTGAGTTAATATTTAACGTCACATCGGCAATATTTCAGCCATATCATGACGAAAACAATTTATACAATACAAAAATGAAAACATTGTGAAGTGTTAAACCTGTCGACGATGGACAGTAAAAAAACTAGAGTATCACAGATATGAACATAAAACTAGCATGTAAAACTTAAACAGTGTAATTAAAGCAGACAATACAATATAAAACACGGGCTATAGATCGCCAGCATCTGAAGGTAGATCACCGTTAATTATCTGAAGACTGACGTCCATAGAGAATATTTATTGTGTTGTAATATTCCGATTGTATGGTTTGTTGATTACACATCAGGATTGGAACTGATTTTCAGCAACCCTTGCTTGTAGTAAGTGGCCAGTAACGGGATCGGGTGGTCAGACGCGGCGACTTGGTTAATGTATTGGTCATCGTATCCTGCATCAACTCCCTTTCAATAAATGATAAATAGCAACTGGTGAAGTCCGATTCCCCCGCATCATAAGCATGAGATTTATGAATCTCCATCATATAGTGAAGATTCCAGGCGTTCGGGTCACAAACACTAACAAAGACAAAGTGAACGTGTTCTGTTCATCTTGGCACAAACACATGTGAAGGCAAGGTAATCGTGTATAGCTCCATCGGTGGCTCGCGACCTACATATGCAAAGGCATGCAGTGGCGAGTACTTCAGGTATATGACGGCGGTCTGTGAAGCATCCAAGACAAGACCAGGCAATCCCGTGATTGGTGTTGTCTTGTACGGTCCACTCCTTCGGGATACTTTGACACGCAGTTAACCGAATTATCAAGTCTGACGGCCCCGTTAGTCAACAAGTGTCGTATGCTGCCTACCTGTTCTAATTCGCAATTTCCCCTGCAGAATATCAAAATGCCATAGTGTAATATGTGGAAGCCGCGCTGGCTGAGAGGGTGAGACTGCTGACCCTGTGTGCTGGCGATAAGGTACCAGACTCTGAGGGTGTGGGTTCGAATCCCGGATGGGACTCAACCCAGCAGAAGTACTAGAATCTGGACTTTGCTGAGAAGATGTTATCCCAAATATAACATGTGTTACTATTTCCCTCCAGGTTTGGGTCTAAGGTGCTCGGCAACAGCACCGGGATCATCTTCAATAATGAAATGGACGACTTTTCGACACCCGGTGCTGTTAACGGGTTCGGCGTGCCATCATCCCCTGCCAACTTCATCAAACCAAACAAGCGCCCCCAGTCGTCCATGACCCCGTCTGTCGTGGTAGACGACTCTGGAGACGTCATCCTGGTTATAGGGGCTTCAGGGGGAACGAGGATCACGACAGCTGTAACTCAGGTAAGTAGGACCATGAATCATTCACTCAGAACATGCAGTGTCCTAACCTTTGTAAACGCCTGACGACGTGACGCTGTTCCAGCGATTCTTTCACAGACAGTTCTTCATTATTTTGCCCTTTACGCCTTGTGGAGTATTTCTCTGTCGTTCCGTATTAGCTCTTCGGTTCGCAAAGTCTGAAAAAGTGTCTTTGAAAAGGGCATTTAGAAGCTGGAAGAAAACGAATACATGACAGTTAAACTTATAAATGCACGGATACCAGCTGAAAGTCGGTGACCACGTAAATACTCACCTCTAACAGTATTGGTGCGGGATAGCCTCGTGGTTAAAGCGTTCGCTCGTCACGCCGAAGACCCACATGGGTATAATGTGTGAAACCCATTTCTGTTGTGCCCCGCCGTGATATTGCTGGAATTTTGCTAAAAGCGGCGTAAAACCATAATCACTCACTCACTCTAACAGTATCATTAGAATACATCCTTCAAGACTGACATAATTTATGCAAACTGCACTGGCTTTATTTATTGTCTCATTTGTTTGCTGCATAACGTTGCACTCAGCAATATTCTAGCTATAGGTCGGCGTTATGTAAACAATTGAGTCTGGACCACACAATCCAGTGATCAACACCATGAGCATCGATCTAATCAACTGGTATACGATATCATGTCAACCAAGTGAGTGTCCTGACCACCCGATCCCGTTAGTCGACTCTTATGGGAAGCATGTGTTGCTGAAGACCAATTCGAACCCGGATTTCACGGGTAGTAATAATAATAGGATGATAATGATGAAGATGATGATGACATGACTGTCTGGTCCAGACTCGAATATTTACAGACCGCCGCCACATAGCTGGAATTTGCTGAGTGTCGAGTTAATCGACTAACAAAGTTCAGCAGCGTTAAACACAGCTCCCTCCCTCACGCCTTTGTGTTGTAACTTACACAGGTAACACTCCAGACGCTCAAGTTTGGAAGAAGTGCCGCCAAATCTGTAGACTACATGCGTGTCCATCACCAGCTGCTGCCCGACAACCTGAGGATTGAGGACGGCTTTCCCCAGGTACGTCGTTTTTTGTAGATAGTAAACTGAGTGAGTGAGTGAGTTAAAATTTAAAGTCACTTTGGCAATATTTCAGCCATATCGTGACTAAAACAACTTATAGATTAACAATAATTAAATATAGATTATAAAATCCTGTCAACGAAGGACAGTAAAACAACTAGAATATCACAGATATAAATGTAAAACTAGTAATTAAATCTAAAACATTTCAACTATAGAGAACAACACAATATAAACAGGCTATAGATCACCAACAACTGAAGGTAGTTCACCATACTAGGGACCATGGGGACTTACAGTACCTTTGCTACCTGCATGGACCCTAGTTGGATTTACACCATCCCTTCAGCCGCTGGCGATTGTAGGAAAATTTAGCCGGAAGTTAAAAGAACAAAAATACTACGATTAAAATGTGGTAAATTTACATTTTACTTTTAAAGTTTTGGGACTAACGTACCCTCTCAGGAGGACAATAATCTTACAGTACTTTAACCCCCTTTGAGAGTACAGCCACTAACAATCTAAGTTACTCATCTAAATTACCAATAAGATAATACATATCTATTTACAAACTATTCATCAAATATATATCTAGCAATTCTATTTCTTTTAAAAATTCAATGATTAAGTGATAATTAACACTAAAAAGATCCTTCACTGTTTTGACATTAAAATATTTATCCCTTATGATGGCAAAATCAATACAGTCATCAGAAGGGATACAAAACGGAGGACCCTCGCCTTTTAACAGGTATTCATGAGTATACCTTGTATTGCCAATGCGACATCGTCGCATGATGACCTCTTCAAATCTGGACTGACAACCCAAGTAGGTGTAACCAATATAGGGTTTTATTTCATGTAATTTATTAATACCTACTTGGGTGTCCCACTTCTTTTGCATCATATCACGGATGTAAGTTCTAATGCTAGCTTTGCGATCAGAGTATGGAATAAGAAGTGGTGTCACAGATTTGTTGAGTGCTGCCTTGGCAGCAAGATCGGCCATTGTGTTCCCAGAAATGCCAACGTGTCTGGGTAACCAACAAAAGAGGATGTCGTATTGGCCAGTAGCAAGCCCATTATACAATTCAATCATTTCTATTAAAAGTGGATGTTTACAAGAAAGATTTTTAATAGCCTGAAGACACGAAAGCGAATCGGAAAAGATTATGTATTGTTTATATTTACGGTGGTTATTTATATATTTAAGAGCTGTTAGTATTGCGTATGCTTCTGCTGTGAAAATTGAACTGTCATTGGGTAATCTGGAAGATATTGTTTTGGACCCAATGACAGTGGCACAAGCTACTGCGCCACCATCCTTGGACCCATCGGTAAATAAGGATTTATATAGATAGTAGACTGAGGACAGTGCCGTTTCTCAGGAAGGTGTCTTACTGCAGACATTCGGCTGAGATAGTGCCTTGTCTGAAACACATTGCTGGCTGCAGATTGTGGCGTATAGCCCGTGTCTCGCCAGGTAAGTGCCCTATTCCGAATAGTCGGCTGTAAATAGCGACTCGTCTCAGACACATTATCAGATGCATCTGGACGCGTAAAGCTTGTTTCCCTCGGCAGGTCGCTTATTCTGGATAGTTGGCTGTGGATAGTGTCTAGTCTTAAAATCATTGCTGAATGCAGTTGGAGGGGAAAGGGTCATTTTTCACAAGTAGATATATTATTGCGGTAATCGGTTGCGGATAGTGACTTCTCTCAGGTAGGTCACTTATTCTGGATAGTGAGCGATGGGTTTGTGTTATGTCTATTATGATTGTTGAATACAGATGGAGACGAAGGGCTCGTATTTCCCCAGGTAGATGTCTTATAAGAGATAGTCGATTGCGGATAGAGACTCGTCTCGGACACATTGTCCGAAGCACCTGAAGGCGTATAACCTTTAACAGCGATTCTCAGTATTACAGCTAACTATGTTGATATATGCTGTTATATTGCGTTTTGAATGGAACTGTGATATGCTGGTGCCAGACAAATGTATTTAGAATTAAGGATCACCGAGCAATATAATAATGTGTCAAATGCATTACCCTGCATCCAAACAACATTAAAATTAAAGATAAATTATTACACAAACCATGGTAACCAGACTCTCACTTTGTACTCTGAAGTTATCACTTTTCTAACAGCATCAGAAGTCACCTTCTACTCACAGCAGCAGATTAACTCTTTGTTATGACTACTAAGAAGTTGTCCTACACTGGTCCCCACGTTCACACCTTCTTAACGAGTTGTCCCGGAGTGGCCCCTGAATTTGGTTGTCACGTGATAGACAGAAAATACACCCAAAATCATCTATATCAAAACACAGCTTAATATCTTCGTAATATGGTGGATCTACAAACATGAACACTTATTAAGCACAACCTGAATCCATGTGCAGTTTTTAAAGCTTGGCCCACCAAAACAGCGATCATACAGTAGCATTCTGGAATGCACATGTAAAGCACGTGCTTCACAATATCTCAAGGTATAATCATCTTCTAGCTGTCACAATATGGAATTCCAACAACAGGCATCCCAGACTACTCGCTTTGCGTACCCCTCTGAACAGCTGCGGTGGACAGTTTTAATATTTGTACTAGCTAAGTAAATATAATCGTTAGATTATCATGAAAAACATAAAAGTCTGTAGGTGTTCAAAGGTATAATGTTTTGTAATATTGTCACAAAAAGCTATATTCGGCATGTTCCGGATTCAGGACAGTTTCTTCTTCAAGTTCACATTTTGTTTTCAAGTACAAGTTTGTATTTAGCCCCATCAGGTAATCGAACTCTCGCTCTCAGACTGAGGTACCAGTCCACAAAGTCAGCTGCCTGACCCACTCAGCCACCGAGACTTCCACTGCTCGCGATTTGGTGCCTCACTCTGAGAGTGTGGGTTCGAATCGTGGACTGGGCTCAACCAAAATCCGTTTCAGAATTTGAACTTAACAATAAACGTGTAATCCAAAATATAACATTTGGTACCTTTCACCACTCGTATATGCCTCTAATAAAATCGGTGTGCTGTTTGTGCTTCCAGGAGATCAGAGCGGGGCTCATGTCGAAAGGTCACATCACAGAGTATGGAAATCCGGTGTCGAATGTTGTCCTTGTAAGAGTAACCAACAATACAAAGTACGGCGTCTCTGATTGGAGGAAAGGTGGAACACCAGATGGATATTAACCAATCACAGATGCTATCATAGTAAGAGCAAAGAATATTGCTTAGTACCACATCTGTGATTGGAGAAAAAGTGGAAGGCAAAATATATGTTAACCAATCACAGATGTTTTCTTTGTAAGAGTAAACAGCAGTACGAAGTACGGCGTCACTGATTTGAGGAGAAGTTGAACGCCAGATGGATATTAACCAATCACAGATGTTATCATAGAATTTACATGTATCGAAAAATCATTATAAAAGACACACAAATATCTTTAAAAAGCCTCATCATTATCATTTTCATCTTTGCACACATATCTCGAGCATAACCGCGCTTTGGGGGTAAGGATGGCAGTGTTGTGAATGTGCATGACTTCGGACCAAAAGTTGTTGGGTTCGAATCCCGAATCATAATTATCAGTTTCAAAAGTACTTCCAAGTACTGCCCCTTCCCTAGTCCACCCAAAGACTCGGAAAAAAATTTGGAAGCTTAAAACTTAAAAGAAGAAAAATCTCTTAAACATTCACCAACCCTCCCTTCCGAGAAATCATGATTGAGCTATTTTGTTGTGACAGTTTGGTCCCCGTTCCTCTATTTCCCTAATGGATATAACGTCTATACCTACAGGTTGATAGTAAATAGCAGTAGTCAAAGCCAAGTAGTTGGGTCGGTTTGTGATTAGGATATTTAATCAGCATTATCTGGGACGTTACACATGTCATATGTATAATTACACTTTGCCCTTAAAGTATGGATTCTGGCGATTAGGTGCCTGACTCTGAGAGTGTGGGTTCGAATCCCGGAGGGGACTCAACAAAAGTACTAGAATCTGTACTTTACTGAGCAAGTGTAATCCCAAATATAACATGTGTTACATTTGATCACTAAATATCATATTTTTCACAATACTCATATTTTATATATTGTTTTATATAAACGGACGATACACGGGCCAGCATTTTAATACGTTCAACGTACGTCCTGCGCACCTCATAGGGGACAAATGAGGTAATAGTCGTATGACGCCAAATGTTAAAATGTGAGTGAGGGAGTGAGTTAAAATTTTAAGTCACATCGGCAGTATTTCAGCCATATCGTCACTAAAACAACTTATAATTGCACAAAACATAACGTAAATTATATAAGTCTGTCGGCGAAGTACAGTAAATACAACTAAATATCACTGATATAAATATGGAACAAGAATGTCAATCTAAAATATTTCAATTACAGGAAACAATACAACATAAAAGGGGCTCAATATTGCCAATAACTGAAGGTAGTTCACCATACAAGGGACCATGGGAACTTACAGTACATTTGCTTCCTGCATGGACCCTAGCTCGATTTACACCATCCCTTCAGCTATTAGCAATTTTAGGTTAAAAAGTGAATGAGTGAGTGGGTTGGTGGGTTTCTGAGTGAGTGAGTGAGTGAGTATAAACTAGTATGGAACCAACAATAGTTCTAATCACAACAATGCTTAATACCCACGGGTCACCACTCTCCAAAACTTCACACTGAGGACCATTTTCAATGTACCCCAGGTTAAACAATCCTTCTCACTGCTGGCGATGATCAGGAATCGTAAGCGTAACACAGTACCTGTACGATCAACAAAGATTAGGAATAAACATATATTAAACAATGTGGTCAACCTTATACTTTCTTTAGGGAACAATCAGTTTTCGCTACTTCAAAACCCTTTGAGGTTACGGCTGCTGACAATCACAGTTACAAACCATATACTTCTTATATTGAGTGAGTCAGTATGGTTTTACACAGATTTTAGCAATGTTCCAGCAATATCACGGCAGGGGCATGAGAACAGGTTCACCCTTTGTACCCATGTTGGGAATCGAACCTTTGTTTTTGGCGTGACAAGCAAACGCTTTTACCACTAGGCTACCCATCGCCCTCTTATATTGTACTGACTGACTGACTGAGTTTGGTTTTACGCCGCTTTTAGCAATATTCCAGCAACATCACGGCGGGGGACACCAGAAATGGGCTTCACACATTGTACCCATGTGGGGATTCGAATCCGGGTCTGTGGCGTGACGAGTCAACGCTTTAACCACTAGGCTACCCCACCGCCCCTCTTATATTGTAAAAGTTAACTATATAATATATAACTTTACCCATATTCAAAATTATCCTTCAGTTCATTTCACTTACAAAGCACATTAGTAAAGGAGATGAGACATTATGTTAAAAAGATCCATCGGTGTTCCCTTGTGATGTTTTACTATTATTATTCAGCACATGTGGTACAATGAATAACATCTTCCCTTTTCAAGACACATTCATGAGTAATCTAGTATGGCTAATACTACATCGTCGTGAAATGATCTCTTCAAATATTGAACTACAACCCAAGTGGGTGTCTCATTTATTAACCCTACAATTGCATATTCCTCATATGCGAGGCCAGATTGCTACACACCCGTCTACGGACAACTAGGAGCTTTGGCAGTCCGGTTGAATTATTCATTGCAAACATAAACGTTTCTCCCGCATCTGCTTCAGATTGAAACACATGGTCCACCTCAAGAATCAACGGTTTCACATCCGCTGAGTAGCACATGAACTTTGTGCTGTTCCTCGAACATTATGACCACTCCGTTAAATATGTAAACGGAGTAGTTCCTTAAAGAACAGTTTCCAGTGATGACATAAAACTATTAAACAGCAGATGCCGTAACTGATTGAGAACTTGATCACTAACACCTTTGATTAACCTTATTAGATTGCAATCACACCAATTATTAAGCATCATTCACGTAAGTATTTCCAAAGATGAGAAACAGAACGATTTTCATGCATTTATTACAATACAATGATAAACATCTATCAACCTCAACTGAATTTGAATACACTCTATTGTCTCTAGAGTAAATGCAAAGATTGCCTCATTACACCTTATTACCTTAAAGTGAGTGAGTGAGTGAGTTTAGTTTTACGCCGCTTCTAGCAATATTCCAGCAATATCACGGCGAGGGACACCAGAAATGGGCTTCACACATTGTGCCCACGTGGGGAATCGAACCCGGGTCTTCGGCTTGACGAGCAAATGCACTAACCACTAGGCTACCCCACCGCCCCTATTAACTGAAAGGATGAACTGTCCCTGTCTTGCACAGTTTCCCTGTGTGGTACTTGTAATCATTGATGTGTTGGAATGACTGCGCACAAAACTGATGAGTGGATTCAAACTTTTCATTTTATTGGGTGAGTGAGTTTATTTTACGCTGCAGTAGCAATATTTCAGCAATATCACGAAGGGAAGGGCTCCACACATTATATCCATGTGGGGAATCAAACCCGTGTCTTCAGCGTGACGAGCGAACGCTTTATCCACTAGGCTATTTAAACGCCTTTGCTAGATGATAGTGAGTGAGTGAGTGAGTGAGTGAGTTAAGATCTTAAGTCACATCGGCAATATTTCAGCCACATCGTGACTACAAACAAGTTATAATTTTACAATAAATAAAGGCAAATTATAAAAGCCTGTCAGCAAAGGACAGTAAAACAACTAGTATATCACACATTTCACTAAAATACTTTAACTTTAGAGTACAACACAATATAAAAACAGGCTATGTATTGCCAACAACTGAAGTTAGATCACCATTCCAGGGACCATGGGCTAGATGAGAGCAGTGTAGGTTGTACTAACTATCACAGATCACGGATGTAACTTCTTACAAGAGGTTTGCAATCACTGCAAGGTATCAGGAGTCGTGTCCCAGATTTGTTGAGTGCTGCCTTAGCAGCAGAATCAGCCATTGTGTTAGTGGTGATTCCAACATGGCTGTGTCACCAACGAAAAAACGATGTCATATTGGCTACTTGTAACATACATAATAGATTTATATGGCGCCTGGTATCCAACTCAAACCTGTTCAACGGGGCATCACAAAGTGTACCCCGGATAACCCAAGCTGCCTGTGAGGCGCTAGAAGGTTAAAGTCACATGGCATATCCCACCCTGTACCCATTTTCAGCTAGATGAGCAGAATTCAAATGTGCTTCGTTGTGGGGCAGGACTAAAGTCCTGGAAACTCGGGTGTCAAGCTGCCAAACACTGTCAACCGACCTGTGCCAAATGTTGCCTAACTTCGACTGGTTTGTGACCTGAGCTCTATCCGCAGCATCACCCACCACGACGTTGTGTCATTCAAAAATTGTATGTGTATTTGTATTTGACCTATTTTTAATTGTCTGAAGGCATGATAGAGAATATTAAAACAGTATCCATTGTTTATATTTAGACTGGTTATTGATGTATTTAAGAGCAGTTAAAATGGCACAGCAACTGCGCCATCGTCCTTGGATCAATCTTTACATATTTTTGTGTAGGAATAATACGTATTTAACTGATTGTATTCTTGTGGGTATATTAGTTGGTTCTTTTTGTTTTGTTAAAGTAGGTCTACCTCTGGCTTTACCATTTTATGTTTAATATGGGCAGCGGATATGGCAGATTTGACCCTTATTCATAAAGTGGCGGGCTAAGAGTTAATTTCGTACTGTAAATACCCTGGTAGAACGGATTAAATACTCACTCAAAGGCTGGATTTGACTTATTAGAATATAATTTGTGACATACTGTAAGGATGACTTGAGACGTTGTATTGGGGATGTATCACCCGCCTCCACGCACAAACTATGAATTGGACTGTTTTAAATGCTCCAAGGCAAAGCCACAGGTCCTAGTGATGGATGGTGCACTGTCTTTGTAAAGTAATTGTACATGCTTCACCATATATGATGGATCTGTAATCAAATTTTGGTTGCCTCAGCGGCCTCTATAAGTGCAGGAGCGTTCTGTGATAGCCTCCCCACTTTGAATATGACAGACTGACTGAGTTTGGTTTTACGCCGCTTTTAGCAATATTCCAGCAACATCACGGCGGGGGACAGCAGAAATAGGCTTCACACATTGTACCCATGTGGGGATTCGAACCCGGGTCTGTGGCGTGACGAGCCAACGCTTTAACGACTAGGCTACCCCACCGGCCCACTTTGAATTATAAATGACTTTAAACAAATCGAGTGCGTCCAGGCATTTAGCTGTGTGGTTGTCAACAAATATCCGTTATCAGTGATTGTAATGTTGGCTGGCCAGGTAAAGTCCATACAAGCAATACACATGGTGAAACAGTGGAAAGAATTGTTAGAATGATATACTGTCATCTTGTGAGTGGAACCAGCTCTGATATATTGCTTTTAGTTTTTACTTACCAACTGCATATTTTCTGAAATCATCGTGGCAGAA